AATAGTTTTACCGCTTAAAAGATTCTATCAGTCAACTGATAACAAGTTAGGATCTATGTCGGATTGCGGCAGGGGTAGGTGCGCGGGACTTAGGCTCTCAGATATATACTTACATTGATCCAAAGCTTAATCTATTGCTCGATGATTATCTAACGACTGCAAAGGATCTTTGCATTCTTCGAGTCTATCCGAGCTTTAATCTCGTACCCAGATCGAACCGCTTGGTCGTGAAAGGTCTGGGTATGAGATTAACCGAACTTGACGACGCGCAAATATGTTTTGCACATCAGGATCTTAGGAAAATACTTTTGAAATTATTCCCTTTTATGTATCTTTAATTTACTCCTTCAAATGTGTTCAAGATTCCCTAGCTTTAAGTCAGAGTCGTCGCAACATGAGATTTGAAAAATCGGTGTAGCATAATGGTCATGGCTTAGACAGCTGGAGAAACGCTCTCTAGTAGATGGCGCAGTGATTAGCTTAGTTCTGAATATAGTCGAAAGTACTGTTTCTAAATAAATTTTCTTATATCTTTAGATTTGAGAGATCGCAAGATCGTATGAAGCAAGAAGATCCAAGAATAGAAGATGCTAGAGGACTCAAGAAGTCTGACTGAAATAAAGCTTAAAATAAATAAATCGTGCCTAGGCGACTGGTGTTTGCGAGTAAATTCTGCATTACAAGTTTGCGCTTTTGAAAGGGCCAACCGCAATTAAAATAGAAAAAAACTAAGTCTTTTGGCGGGAAAATCTCTTCTTAGAATGACTGAATGAAAGACTAAAAGTGTTTGCAAAAGTCTTTCGGCGGGAAAATTGTTTGTGGCAAAAAAAAGTCTGCGCCTTTGAATTGTGTCTAGTGTTGATCCAAAAATATACTAAGTCTTTTGGCGGGAAAAATCTTGCTCCATGCTTAAGATTTTCTCCCATCAAAAGTCAAGTATATTTTTTGTTTCACGCCAGATGCTGTTCAAATTCGCAGATTTTTTTTCCTCTCGACAACCCTCCATGCACAAAAAAAAGTAAAAGAGATAGCCTATATTTTGACTTGTTACCAGGCCCTTTTACCAAGCGCAATTCTTTTTTTTTATTATTTGTAAACGTAATAAAAATAAAAGGGAAAGACAATATAATGGAAATGAAGTTTTTATTTGTTTTTATTTTTACTTATTGAATACAATTCTTAAGTAATAAATAAAAATGTTCACACGATATCATAACAATATTAAGTATAACTCGAGAAAATAGAACTGGACAAAGTTGAAAGTATGAAATGGGTTAAAGAGAAACTAAAAAATTTACAAAACCAAAAGGCAAAAGTAACTTAAGTACAATTACAATAACTACAAAGTCTTAATGGCATTTCAAACAATTCTATGTTGGAACATTTGCCTGTAAGAAATTTTTGTTTTGCCAAATTATTTCCAATTAACATTTAAAATTCCTTGAGGTTTTCACTTGTGACTTTTTTGGAGTCACCAGAAGCGTCCTCACTTGCAATTTAACTTTCTTAGATTTTGATCATTTGGAAGAGAACTCTCGATTGTTTTTGCCTTGCCAAATTATTTCCATTAGCCAAAAACAAACAGAAATTTTATTCATCAACAGACAATCAGAATTTACTTAACTTTGATAGCTCTGTTTTGTGTTTTCAAAAAAAATTGTATTCAAAGCAATTAATTCGTGGCTAAATTCGTCTTGCGGGCAACGTAGTTGGTAAGTTTAAGTCACAGTTGTTACCTCTAACATTGAATTCAACTCTGTTTCTCCAATAACTGAGTTAAATTTCCTTCGTTCCTCTTTCACATATTTTTCAGTTCGAACCCGTCTTTGCTCTCCAAGCTTGTGGTCCCCTTCTTCAACAAGGCGTGTCACAAGGATATCAGAGGACTGCAATATAATGAAAAAACATTCTTAAATTCGACGAAATTAAACTTGAATTGAATTTAGTGAATAAAAGTGATGAAAGTGGTAAGGCGTTGTAAATACTGAGCTTCTTGTCTAGTATTAATAATCACTACAAGTGAATGTACTCGTAGGAAGAAATATTTAATATTTCCGCCCAAAATTTTAATTCAACTGCGTGTTGATTCCTCTTTTTGTGGCAGTGAACATAATTAATCACAGAGGTAAAGCGTTGTAAATACTGAACTTTATTGTCTAGGCTTGATGATTACCACAAGTGGAAATACTCGTAAAAAAAATTTTCGTCCAGATTTTAAACTCAACTTGATGTTGGTTCCTCCTTTTGTAACAGTGATCGTAATTTATTAAATCTTCTATAATTTCGATCAATACATAAAAATCCTCCGAAGGAATTTTTCAGGTCGACTAAGACTTGATCTTTAGAGCTCAGTGGTGCATCAACAGAAATCCGGCAACGAAATTACGTTTTTTAGAACTTCTTAAAATTGAACAAATATTACAGCGATGTATCTACACTTCGTCAGAAATTTCAGTTTTTATCTTTATGTAATGCGGTCGAGAAAGATTTCCATATGAACCAATACTACTCCAAAACAAAGCGTTCGTCATACAGATGATCTGTTGCTTTCGCCATTGCCTCTTATATCAAAGAAATGTATGAATATTGAAGTATGGGATTATATCCCTTGATTTTAACTGTAGTCGAGGTGAGAACAATTCTCGGTATAACACAATAAATTTGCACCGTCTGTGGGTTACCTCATTTTTTTACTTTTTCTCGTCGAAGGCAATTGATATGATTGATATCTAGAATTACAAAGTTCTTTTAAGCAGGGCAGGCTCATTTAATTTTGAAAAAAGGGTCTTTTTTGCGTAGCCAAATTGCCTGAAAATACGACATCTGGACAATGCGACTTATAAATACTCGAAATTTTGGAACAATTAAGGACGAATGGTTTGCATGCCTCGCGCCCTGATCTTTCTCAAATATTCTTAAAAACTTTGGCTCATTTTGAAAAACATTTTCACTCAAATATTCTTCATTGGTCAGGAAAAGAAAAGAAGAGCTATTCCGCAGTTTTCAGTTAAAGAAATGCTTTATAGCGATACAAATATTTTTGCAAAGCGTTGAAACAAGTTTGTGTACATTCCGATCATTCTTTGTTGGCGACATAACCCTGTGCTCATAAGTCGTCCAAGGTTTTATTTGCATATCGTTTATATTCATTTTTCTTGTTGACACAAGCAAACGTGTTCCTTACCACATCTTTTTTTTAGCAAGGTTTTGCGCGTGTCTTAAAAAGGCATGGTAAGATTTTCAGCCCCATACTTTAAAAACAATAGATTGCGGCTTTGCACTACACCTTTGTTTTATAAATGGCAGTTGCATGTACAGATAATAAACCTAGTTCATGTAACTGGATTCTAAAGCTTACCTTGACGTAACTCTTTGCTTTTTTTCTCCTTCGTTTCTGTTCACTTCCAGGCTTGATTTATGATGCCTTACCCATACCACCTTATCTACGAGGGAAAGAAACAACGCCATTATTTCCTGAGGTTTATGAGATTGTCTTGAACTGTTAAAGAATTTAATCATGTTATTGAATGCTAAATGAGGAGAGCGCCTATAAGAGATATTAACGTGTTTTCCTCCTCCAAACCTCGTTATCATGATATCTTTGACGTCAATTCCTCGAGAATCAGTCTTGAAACCTCATTTACAAAGTTTCGTTTGAATTTGCCGCCGAGCGATGACGTTTTTATTAAGCCACTACTCGAACTGGTTGGACTTTTTCAATTAAAGTTCTTCCTTCAATATGTATTCAGATATCTGATATTGATGTTAAACGAAGATATGAGAATTAAATTGCTTGTCGCGAGCACAAGTTCGTAAAAATACAACTGACAATCCACACTATCCCTTATTCATTAAGCACGTTTTGCTGAACAAGGTAAATTCACTCCTATCTTACCGTGTTTTGTATTGAAATGGAAAGACTGTTGGTCCAGGTCATGTTTCCAAGTAAAAGTAGCTGTGTCTCCTCGATGCTTCTAGCGATGTTTGAGCGGAAGACTTGATTCATCGGAAGGTTTCTCTTGTACTTTCTTTCCTGCGAAGTAAGACATTTCTTACCACGAGGTAGCGTGAAATGCAAATTAGTTCATTGAAAGGTTTTCACATGGAAATTCAGCCTCAAAATGAAGACCTTGGAAACGAGGTTGTCGTGAAATCAAGGTGTTTGTGGTTGCTTTTTTTCAAAATCAGTTGCATGATTTTTATTTTACTTGTTTACAAAGTTGATTTATATGCAGGCGAGGAAAGGAGGAGTAAAAGCCAGTGGCACTCAGAACAGGGAATAAATGAAAGAGAAAAGATTTTTAAGGAAAAGTAGGGAGCCATGTCAAGTTTTCCAGCAATAGATGTTGCCATGTGGGTGGTTAGGATTTGTGGAGGGTTGACCACAAAAACAGCGTACTCAGAGCTCAAGTCCACAAGAAAGCGAAAACAGCGGAAATCGATAATCTTAAAAGTCTTACTGGTTGAGAGAGTAAGAGGGTATTTTGGGAATAGTCGCGCGAAGGTCGTGCGATTGGGAGCAGAAAAAACATTGTACCCTCTCAGCAGTACCGGCTCCAAATTGCTAAAGCATCTAAGATGAGGGTTTCCGTACTCAAGAGCAAAGACAGAGACGCAGCTTCCAGATTATTTCAAATATTTAAGGAAGTTTCCCGCGATAATTTTTAGTTGAACTAAGACTGCCCATCAAACAGTTTTTTTTCCAATTTCTTCACTTTTCATTTTTTTCGGTTTTTGTTTGCTAAAAACTCATCTCATACACAGGGGCAACGAGTAAAGCGAGATAAGTTTGTTTTTTACTCAGAACTAGTTCAGAGTTTTAGTTACAGATTGTAACTGTTTTTTCCATATCAATACTCATATTTTGCCCATTTCGCGACATCAACAGATTTGCATATCTACAGAGGATCATTTTTCGAGCTAAGACTATGGACTGAAAAACGCATAAGTTCAAAATTATGTGTAGGCAGTTATTTGCAAGCCCCTTGGTGTGCCATTGTTAAATAAAAAGAAAGACCCAAATAAATCAAATGATCATTTTAATTGTGATATTCTAGTACCTTATGAACTACAATGTCTCTCTTTTAACGTTTTTCATTTTGAACAACTAAGCTCCTCGGCACTACAAAGTAAAGTGGCCATCTACATGACACTACCTAGACCCAGAGAGTTTAAGCATGACTTCTTTCTCGCTGTCTGCATTCAGCTGTTTTTACACCAACGTGATAATAGTTGCCTCAATGGTGAAAAAAAGATTTTGGCTTATTTCCTCTAGTACACTGTTGATGTAAGGATCATACGAAAAGTAGGTAAAATCATAGTTCATTTTAGCCCTTTACCGCGGCCTCAAGAATTGTCCTGCTTAAACTATTTTGTTTTCTTCACAGAAGGCTTTTTGGGTTATCTGGTATCTCCACCACAACTTTGCCTGAACTTTTCCCACTGTGCAAATACTGGCGAGAAACGAAAATTGGATCATGCGTTACCAAAGCGAGATAGAAGCAATAATCTTACATGTAGCGCTTATCCACTTCACTGAATTATTCCAGTGGAATTCGTTCATATTACTAAAAGACTATAAGGTGCTAAGCATCTGAAGGTGCTCGGCTTCTGAGAGAGATCGCCACCCAATAGTGCTCGGCACCCAAAGGATGATCGCCACCCGAATGTGCTCGGCACCTGAAGTGCTCGCCCCCCCACGATGCTTGCCACCCACAAAAAGAAAAAAAATGAACCAAGGCGGATATGTTACTAATGGCGCCTACAATCAGTATTCTTTCCCACCCGACCCGGACCATATTTTCAATTCATGGATTATAGTTCTCTATTCGGATGGAACCTTTACTTTGAGAAAATTCCTGAAAAAATGCTCTACCTCTCTTTGAATAAACCAGTTTGGTAGGTGGGTCACAATTAAACTTGTAACTCCCAAGATCTCATCAGTAATTCTCTTTACTAACTGCTGTACAGTTTGTATGATTTTAGTTCTGAGAATTTGTTACTGGATCAACTGATAATCCCATAATTGATACTTCTCTTTCTTCTCATCACTTGTTTGCTTGAAATTGTCTAGATATTGTAGGGGGAAATTCTGTTTTCGTAACTCATAGGAGTTAAAGGGTTGAGGGACAAGTCATTATTTATCCCGGGGGGGGGGGGAGGAAACGGAGGCTTTTGGAGGGGGTCACAAAAGGGAATGGACAGGGGATCAGTCGTCGCCAACAGAGTATAACCGGGGAAAAATACAAATAGACAGCCAATTAACTGCCCCAAGGGCATAAGAATATTACAGAGCCCTTTTGGAGGATCGGGTAAATTTTATTGTTAAACAATCAAAACCCTGCGGACCCCCACCCACCTCCCGAGCTTTGAAGCTATGCGATAACTTATTTACTGGTCCCTAACTATAAAAATCAATTCTCTGATTCCCAGGATATTCATTTTAATCCCTACCTCGACCGCATCCGGTATTGAATCCAGACCTTTGAAGACTCCTGTTGGCGATGAATGTCCAACGTCAATGTGACACTTTAACTTCCCGCTGTCGTACAAGTCCACAAGTTTAGCCAGAGTTGATTTAAACTCCTCAGCATAGTGAAATAACAAGAAACCACGGACACTCGCCGATTTGGATAACAGCTGAAGATATGAGAAGCAAAATAAAATATACAGAGGCGAAGAATCAGCACATGTCGGATCACAGGTTACCCAAGCTCGATATGCGAGTTTTATCTGCATTGTGTTGTTAACACACAAGGGTAGAATTGCAAGGAGTCCCGTGAGAGGTGTGTTAAAAAAGGAAAAAAAATATCAGGGAATTCAACATTGTGCGTGTTTTTATATGAAATATATACATATGGGAAAAACGCACGCTTAAATCGCCAGGAATCGACTCAAAAACCACACGGAGACAAACAGATACACACGACTATTGTCGAAATCGAATCCCTAATATTTTTGGTTTCTACAAACAACCCTTATATAAATCCTATATTTCTACCGTTGCGCCTGAATAATTTAATACAGATTTACCGGTAGATCGAGCTTGGACTGCCTGTGGTCTAGTTTTGAAAATTAAATTAGGGGTACTTGCTCTTTGAACTGGACATTTAGTTAGACTTACACAACAAGCCTCATTGATGGCGTATTCTAGTGTAAGTGAAAGCCAGTCATGCTTATGATTGTCTCAAGAATATCAAGAAAATTTCGTATCAGCGTTTTTTGAATTGATCGTTTCAGAACCTTTAACACCCAATACAGTGATTTGAAAAAAGAACAAAATTCCGGCTGCCTGAGATTTTCTAATTCCATCCCCCGCCATAATTTTCCATATGCCTGTCTCTGAAAGGAGTGCTACATCGCATTATTGCACAATACCTTTGGAACAAGAGTTGCGTTTTTGACCGGGGTGAATCCTAACTTGGACTGGTAACCAGTAATGAAACCAATTGTTACCAAGCGACCCTTCTTAGCCAGCCTAAAAAAGGAGAAGGAAACTTAACTAAGATCATGTCCTTAAATTACAAAATGATACGTTAATCAGTGTTGACCAGTAATATTGTTTAAAAACCTCTTGTCGACGCATTAACGATGGCAACGTTCCTCATGTTGTTAAAACATGGGACTTTGAAACCCGGTTAACACTAAACCAAGGTGGTATTCTCGGAAAACTCAGCGGGCCTGTGCTAAACATGCAACAAGCTAACTGTTATAATGGCTAATCTAAAATAGTGATCGTCGCATGTCGAACTACTCGGTCCTGTTTGTGCATTTTGCCGAGGGTCTGGAACCAAAATTTAAGGAATAATCTCACTTCTCGATAAATTCCCCTGGCTGAAATTTTGAATCATTTTTTTGTACCATTTCTGCTTGACAGAGCCCTCTTTTAATCAAACCTTCAAATTGTTTAAACATAATTTAAGTTTTATTTCAGTCAAAGTCAGTTCTTACCTGTTGACACAAATGTCAAAAATTTCTCCCCCGATGGATTCGTACACTACATCAACACCATTCTGGAAAAAAAAACCCAAAATAAATTCTGCATTGTCACTTAGGGACAAAACAAAACTCACAGAAACTCTGAACATGTCTCTGTGATATTCACTTCCTTCAATTGCCACTTATAAATTTTAAGTAGGAATCTACCGAGAGAAAATGATAGACACCGCCACTCTTACGGATCATGGAAATGAATTTCTCATGTCCTGAGTCTTGTGTCTGTAGGTTGATGAAGAGCGAAAAGTCCCCCAGGACATTCTACAACAACAACAACAATAACAAAACAGGAATGGAGGAAGTTGTGAAAATTTTTTGTTTCAGACCATTCAGAAAACAAGCGGTGGTACTCAGCCTGACAACCCAGTCTCCCCTGCCCCCCAAAAATTGTTTACTTCTCTGCTCTTACCGGGAATTCCTTCTTTAAGACTTCATCTAATTTCTCTGTCTTGTAGTTTACTGGTCGATCGCATCCAAGAGACTGCAATTAAAAAATAAGGTTAAATAAAACATCGCAGTAATCACAATGAATCATTATAGGGTTTCGGTTTTATCTTTGCAAACTAGAACAAATTATATAATGCCATCTTTCATTAGCTGTTTTTGAAGGAAGAATGTTGATCTCAATCTTTTGCGCGCGAGATATTGCTGACGTGAGATGTGCACTCATTTTTGCCGTGATTAAAGACGCTTGCTTTCTCCACAGTTGACTGTTCTTTTAACACCCTATGAAGAAGTGAGTTCACTTTGCCCACATTCAGCCCTTAACCCTTTCACTCCCACAAGTGACCGAGACAGAAATTCTCCTTACAATATCAAAACAATATCAAGCAGGTAGGTGATGAGAATAGAGAAGAATATCAATTATGGGATTATTAGTTGATCCAATACCAAATTCTCTGAACTAACATCATAAGAATTGTATGGCAGATAGTTAGGAGAATTACTAATTAGATCAGTCTTGGGAGTGAAAGGGTTAAGGTATTCAGTCATGCAACATGCTGCCAGAAAAACTTTTACCCTATCGAAACATTAAAAAATCAGGTGCATATTAATGACAGTGACCATGCGTCACTTATAACTCCCAAATTACACATAATGGTCATGAGAATAAAGGAAATGATCACAAACTGAAGAAGCTCTTGATTGTAAGTCAAATTCTCCTTGTCAATATTATAGGAAATGTATGAAGAACAGTGTGGAGAACATGCATATCAATGTTAAAGTTGGGTGTAAAGGGTTAAGCCAACCAACCTTTAAAAATTCTCCTTTGGCGTCTGTCGAGCATGTGCCAATCACGTGACATCCCGCCAACTTCGCAAGTTGGACCTTTGAAAATTAACATATCAAAAGTATTTGTGTAACAAAAAATGAAATGTCCCACATGCAGAGCTCGTTCCAACTCCTACCCAACTCCGAATGTTTGTAACTCTGTAAGTTCCTGGATTTCAAGTTTTCATTCAAGAGGAAAGAATTATATGTGTGGCCTGTCTTATTTTACCCGACCCTTATCTTATTGATCTTTTCTTTTCTCAGTTTTGTTATGATTGGATAGACATCGTAATAAACCATTTTCAATTGAAGGTTGCAGTTTAATTACAAGAAGTACTTACATCCCAAAATAGGGAACTCATGTAGAGATGTTTTTAAGGTGTGAATGTAGAGCAGAAAAAATGCAACTTCATAACTACTGGCACACTTGATATTGACCAGTCAACTTGAATTTATCATTGTTGTAACATAATAAACTAAACTCCATAACAAAAAATTTGTAGTGGGCGCAAGGCCCAAAAACTCTCAACTTCTTAGCCTTAGTTCCTCACTGGTAATTGTTTAATACAACATACCGCAAACTGACCAGTTCCTCCTGCAGCCGCTGTAAGAAAACAGTGGAACTAACATTAGACAGAGTACTTTTTAAATTGATTGTCAATAGATATCCAAGATTGTGTCAGTTTTGTTTTAACTATACTCTGTAATTGGTTTAAGGAGATAAGAAATATTAACAAGTAAGAGCTCAGATGTCAAGAGTTCTTATTATTTCTTATTGTGATACCGGTATTTTCTTTTTTTAAGATTAGGACTGACAGGTAGTTAAATTTATGAAACTCTCGTGTTCAAAACAAACTTGATAATAAAATAGATTTACCTGTCACCAGAACTATTTCATTGCTTTTAATTTCACCAACCTATTGTAATAAAACAAGACTTTTAAAATTGTTCAGTCTCATACAAGAATTGATCTTGTAATTTCCAGATTACTTCTGGTCCCTTCACAAAAGTACAAATAGTGTCAAGTCAAGTCTAATGCAAGGGGGGGGAGGGGGAAAGGGTTCTGGAGTGCCCATGACCCCCCTTTGTGAACTTTTTGTGTCATATTAAGTAAAACACAGTGTGGAGGTTGACTTGATAATGTGGTGAGTACTCTCTATTTAACACAGTGTGACCCCTGCTTTGAAAAATCCTGGCTACCCCCCTCCAGCCACAGTTTATCCCCCCTTTTCACAGGAAGCTAGTCACCCTCATCCTTTTGTCAGGGTTTCCTGACAGCTTGGTTGTACCCATGTATACTCCTGGGTGGAGGGCTCAGGTACCATGAGAGTGAAGCATCTTACCCAAAAACACAACGCAATGATGTGGCCAAGTCTCATACCTGTGCCTCTTTATGTGCAGTCCAACTCACTGCAGGCCACCAAGTCTTCCCCAATAGGGAAAATTGAAGGAAGAAATAATGTTGGTCTGTTATCACTTTAAAATATTATTATGGTGCAAGCAAAGTAAGGCAAAATATGTTTATGGTAAATGATATACATTGAATAACTGAGTACCTTGTCAAGAGCAATACCAGCAGTCAGGCCACTGATGAGTAATGAGACATATACAGGATCCACTCTTGGCAGGGGAAATGCTTGTTTTGAGGAAATGGTCTGCAAGAATACCAATATCAACAAGATCACCATGTGAGAATCATTCATCATATCATCTTGTTGGATTAGTAGCAAAGTGGTAGTGACTGAAGAACCATGTTCAAATGAGTCAGCTTTTTGAGTGTTGCAACTTATTATTTTGGTAGCAGATTCACATGTATTGCTCTTCCATTGATGTTCTACTTGATATTTTACCAGCTTGTTTTTGCACCAAACCAGTTTCTTTCAAGAACATGCAACTCCTGTCTAGACATTTAAGGCCAACTAGGAAATCATTTGCAAAGAGATTTGGTGGATGTCAGTATTCATTATATGAAAGATTACTCACAAAACTAAAAGTAAATAGTCATATTGAGCAAAAAGGTAGCAACTACAAGTGAGAAATTTAAATCAGATATCAATAATTCTTTCAGGGTTCTCCGACTTTTTTTCTTTTATAAAAAATATAGAGTCAAAGTAATTAGTTTCAATTCACTCTTGAGAGGTTAGTCATGTCACAAAATTGGATAAAAGGCTCTGCAAAATTTTTCCATCATGTTCTCAAAAGCTGTTTTTGAACTATTCATAAAAATAATATATGCATTCAGATAGTGCATTACTTGTATAAGTAACAAGCAGTTTTAAAGGAACTTATACATTACGACTGATATCTAAAAAAAATCAAACAAAAATTTTACCATATATTCTGAGAAGGTTCCAAACTGAAAATATCCAACTGCCTGACCTTGGTGAAAGTTTTTACATTTCTCACCAGTTAACACAACTTCTCCAATACCCTTGGGAAAGAAAATTACATCAGTGACTACCCAGAAATCGGCAATAGTGAAGGAAGAGGTAGGGAACAAGGAAAATCATGATATAAGGGGCTAAGCCACTATGATCAGAGAGAGATGGTTTAATAATATGTCTAGCTTATAATAGGAAGCAAAAGTTTTCTAAATTATTTTTACCTGTTACTCCAACAGGGAGATCATTCACATTTTTCACCCCAAGTTTTAACTTAATGAACTTGTCAAAAAGTCATGAAAAATTCTCTTAACCACCACCATTTGGAGTTGTTAATTATTGGGGGGGGGGGGGGGGTAATTTTAGTTTCACTGCTAAACAGAGAATCTCCACTACCTTCCCCTCCCTCTTGCTGGAAATTTCTGACAAGTTCTGCTTATCTTACACACAGAGAGCATGATCAGCTTTATAAGAGTAACAAACTGATTAGTAAATAAATGCATGGCCTGGCTGAAGAGGTATTGGCAAGACCTTGAATTACTATTTGGGTAATAGCTGCTGGTGATACAAAGAATTCATAGTTCCTTCTACATCTGGCAAATAAATTTTTTAGCTATTTCTGTCATTAGTTAGAAGTCTGAGTCTGTCTTAAAACTAACTTAGAGTACACTTACCTCTAGTCCACCATCAAATGGTGGGGGTACCCCTGGGTTATATCGACCAGCAGAATGGTTTATTTCTGTGGCATTAATCCCAACATATCTGTAAAATCATAAACCACAAAATAGAAATCACACACAGTTATAAGACATGTGAGCACGGTGCAGTAGGGTATTATCTTTATGTACATCTAGAATAAAAGTGTAAATAGCAGTTTGCCTTAAATTTAAAAGGGATTTGGTGGGGGTGGAGGGCAACAAATTGGCAGGGATAGTGAGGTACGTGAGTGCAAAAGAGCAGAGGAGGATCAGCAGCCTTGTTTTCCGAAAAAGATGCAATTGTGATCAAAAAACTTGTATGAGATATAAATTGTGGTATGCAATTCTTTTTTGGGTAGGTAGAGGGGAACCAAAGGAACAGAACCTATCCCATGCCAAGGACATCTCAATGGACCTGTGATCTGCTGTAGCTCAACCCTTGCTTTTCATAGAACATGTATGATATTGTTTGATATTTTCAATTACACCCTATGCATGACGCCTGAGGCATAATTGCAAAAGATGCTTGAGTTACGGGTTGATCAACTACTTCACACGCCCTTACGAGTCAAAAACTCTCATTGCACACCTGCAAGCCGAGAGAAATTCAAAACCCACAGAAAAAGATCGGCTGCTAGAAATTATTTTGAATGAACCGCGGAGAAAAAATAATTGGAAATATTCCCGAAGGGGACTCTCTAGGGATGAAAGAGGTACCTCTTCACGGTGTGAACACCTCGTTTAAATATTCTACCTGTTTTTGACGAGTAACTCATCCGGCCCCGGCTTCAACATAGGTACCGTTACCAGTTCGGCAGCCTCTCTGTAATTTGTGGAAAGTTTAGAAATTATAAGTTTCCGAAAAGTCTCGGGAAGACGCCTGGCCGCCATGATGGATCAGGGAGGTGAAGATTTGAAAAGGGACTGGAGATGAGGTGAGGAATATCCTCCTCTAGATATAGGAGATTGGAAAAAGAACAGAAAAGAAAAAAAATTCTGTGAAGATTGTACGTTACGATTAGAAAATAAGGGTTATTAGTTTTCCTGCTATTCACAGGTTAAAGGGGTCTGCAGTGACTTCTCTCTGGGGAGGGGTAGATTAAGACCCGTCCTAGCGTCCACTTCCGTCCAAGCAATTAGAGAACGCCTGGCAGATTTTGTAGTTCTTGAGACGGTTGAGGGGCTCGAATACTAGACGAAAATGAGCGGGCATGGTAAACGATTCATTTATTTCTGTGGAAGTATTCGTGGAGGGAGAGACGATGCAGCTCTATACAAGCGTATCATAGATCAACTGAAACAATACGGTGATGTTTTGACAGAACATATTGCTGATCCCAACTTGCTAGACAAAGAACAAGGTTTGTCTCGAGAAACAGTCAATAATTTAGTCTTAATATGACAATTCTAAATCGAGTGAAGCCGTGATCCTTGCCGGTGAGCAGCAATTTTAGAAGTTGCAGAAAAGACGACTTAAAAAAAATTCAAGCTTCGAGGGAATTCGAACCCGTGCGCATGACTCGCAGATACTAGTTGGGTGCGACACATGGTTGGCCGCTACTACCAACTGTGTACAGTTAAGCTGCCAAGCCACACGTTGGGACCGTAGCATATCATTGGGGGTTCTTTTCCGTGTTCTAAAGCGCACAAGCATTAAGTATCGTAGAGATTATGCAGCATAGCTGGTTAGAGATCAGAAGAAGAACTTGATTCCTCATGGAACAGAGCCAACTTCTCAGATCCCAAATCTATGCATGTTCAGTTGAGAGAGTGCAACGTTTCTTTCGTGGGACATGTTACAAGAAAAAGAGGATCTTTTTAGAAAAGATCTTCATGGGAAATAAATGTGACATTAAACTCCATATCTGACTGGTTGAATTGCAAATACTGTAAGGAACGAATTGTTTGATCATTTAGCTAAAACAAAATGATTGCAAACTTGGCAACTTGTTCATCATTTTTACAGAAGAATTTGTGACTTGACTGATGTTTGGCAGAAGTTAAATTTTCCCCAGCATATTTTTATTTTTAATTTTCCTGTCTCACCTGATTTTAATAAATGTATCACAACAAAGAAGTTCCTTTGGCCACACATGAAAAACAGCTGTTAAAAATAAACTGCCATAGCTTTTGGCCTTAACCCTTCCTCAGTGAATACATTTTAGGCTTTTCTGTTGAAGTTTATAACACGGCAGTGTGAGAAAGTGTTTCCATGTAGCCACAGATTGCCTCTTTTACCTGCACTCAGCTGAATGATTAGAAAAGGAAAGGTTTCTCATACTCAGTCAGTACCTAGTCAGTGCACTAATTAAGTTGTCATTCATTTTACTTTAAGCTTTATACTAAATGAAGTACATTTTTTATTACATACATACATACATACATAACTTTATTTGATAACGCAGGTTAAAATTTGCGCAACTTTACAGCTGATGTGGACCTGCCTAAACTAATTAGTCTATAATTATATAAAATACAGATATGATAAAATTTATAAGTTGAATAAATCAAGTAAACCATAAAGTTTTAGTAATAGTGAAAATTTGGTTTCATGTTTTGTATAACATTACCTCCCTTTTCAAAATTAATATTCATAACAGTTTGCTTGGATTGTTTTAAGTTATATTTAAAAATAGATAAATTTGGAGAATCTTTAACATTATCGGGAAGTGCATTCCATGCTACTGCAGATCTATGAGCAAAGGACCTACGACCCAATTCGGTTTTGGGCCTATTAAGTACAACATTCAGGGATTTCCTTAGGTTATAACTGTTAGAGTTCTTGGTCACCAAACAATTAATTTCCCGCAACCCTAAATTATAATAAGCATTATATGTAATAGTTAAGATACGTAGCTTATAAAAATACTCTAAAGGCATCCAGCCAACCTTAGAAAGTACATCATTATCCCCAAAACTATTTGGTATCTTATGAATTAGCCTGGCAGCCCTGATGTGAATCATTTCTAGATCTTTAAGCTTGGATCCAGACCCCCAAATTGCAATTCCATATAGAACACTTGGTATAACTATCCTATAGTAAAAAGTCTCCAAGATAGATGTACATAGGAAATTTATACGTCTCAACATTTTAACTTTGGCATTAAATGCAGATCTAGCCAATGCAACATGCTGAGACCAAGAGAGTTTATCATCAATTGTAACCCCAAGGCAATTGGTGGAGGACACATACCGAATGGTGTCCATACCCCACTTCAGCTGTTTCAAAGGACCTATGAAGGGGGTAGTACTTAAGACCATTGCCTCGGATTTACCTTCATGTAGAATCAATCTGTTACTAAGACACCAGGAATTAACCTGGTCCAAAACAGCCTGTAACCCAGTTGTTATTTCATCAACAGTATTCCCTACTACATATATTGTTGTGTCATCAGCATACATATAGACTTCTCCACTGGATTGGATATCTTTAGGTAGTGACAAGTTTATTCATGACCGTGACATGGCCTGGTTGGAAAAGTCTGATGGTAAATTGCATACAGTTTGACTCACTAGTTCTAAGTAATAATTCTCCATTCTGTCTATCATGTATTTCTTATGATGTCAGTTCTGAGGGTTTGGTGTCAAATCAAATGATATTCCCCAGGTGTTATTTTTTAATCTGTTTGAAAGTCATATTGATAGAGTATTGATATCATGTGGGAAATTACTTCTTGGTCAACCCTGGAATTGAAAAAGTTTTTTAAATCCATCCATTGTCCCTCTGGTTCACAAACACACACATATTATGTTGATACTCTTCTACAAAGTCAAATTGATGGTCAACTTGTCTTTATGAAAATAAAAGTTGTTTCTTTTTCTTCAGCAATAGTTGCAGAAGTCACTCAGCCTTCCTTGGGAGTTGGATATGAAATAGGGAGAGCATTTGAGAAGAAAAAGAAGATTCTTTGTCTGTTTAGACCTGACAGTGGAAAACGTAGGTTTACATATCAACCAAATGTGTTATTCTGAGCCACACTATAAATGTCATAGATAGTGCTTGATTGATTTAGGTTGTTGATCCCAGCAATATTGCTGTCACACCTCAAAATTGGTGCTGGTAAATGCTTCAGCAGCCTCATTCCCTCCAACCCTGCATATCTCTCTTACCCTACTCTTAGGCTACTCCTACCACACCCCACCTGCTGACCCCTATTTCCCCTTTTCCCCTTTTCCCCTGACCCCTCTCTTGCTGCATATCCAGGCAACAACTGCTCTGTACTCCCCCATGCTTGACAGACTTTGTAGCATCTGTTTTTAAACTGTTGGGCTAGTTATGCTGTCTAAGGAACTTTTGTCCAAAAATCCAAATTCTGAAGCTTGCGCAACATGCAACTGACCAATAAAATAATGATATTTTACTATTCAATTTAAATAGTATTGCCCAGAAAACTCATAATCTGAAGTTACAGAAACATCCAGCTGACCAATCAAATAGTGGTATTTTTACCATAATATGTAATTAGTATTTTTTTTTCTTGCTTGTAGATCTTTCTGCCATGATCGGGGGAGCAATTGGAGAAAACGTGCAAGTGAAGAATTATAAAGAGGAAGATGTTCCTGAAATCCTTAAAGAGTTTTTTTCTTCTATTTAATATTCAGCACAGAGTTGCTTGGACAGTGGAGTTTTATTGTCTATTTTTGTCTTTTATTTACTTTTTGTGCCTCAGTACAATTTAAGAAATTTATTGGGCATAAAAATTGTGCGAATTTTGTAGTTTGTCTTCAATCTAAAAGTACAAGTTCTCTCTAAATAAAAACATCTAAAATAAAACACTGAAAATTTAAGGTAGACATTGTGGAAAGAGGTCTTAGAGTAAAAACTGCCCTTGTCACGCGGAGAACTAAATATATCTGAATGTTTCTTGTCATGCTTCACGTGTAGATCAGTGTTGCGCTGGTTGAAACACGAGTTACGGCAATGTATAGGTTTTTTCTTAATTCCACTTCACTTTTAGAAATATGTATGTTGACAATAAACATTATGTTTTCTTAGAAGAGGAAATGATTTAGACTATGATTTTAATTTGTTTTTTTTTTTTCCGTCTGAAGTTTTGTGCGAGGAGAACGTGAACAGCAGGTATCGTCCCAGGGGTTCCATACCTCGCGCGTAACTCTGCTTCGCGCTCGCTTCCCTTCGCGGTCGGGATGTCACGCAACGCTCCCCCGGCGTGACATTCCCAAAAAACAGCTGCAAAGGAGACGACGCGGTCGACTACGCGCGCTTTCGCTTGGAAAAAAAAGACCAACCTTTTCGCTGGCAAAAAACACGCCGAATTTTGTCTGTTAGCATTTTGTGTTCGCGGTTTCCCTAACGTAATTCCCTAACTCATAACATCTTACACTTTTTCCTAAATCTACGCGAAATGAAAACTCTACTCTATAATCAGTTTATGATATTTATCAGGCTGTGATTGTGTAGCTTATGTTGTTAATATTTCGCCATATATTAATCCGTTTTATTCAAAGGATTAAACACTTAAATATAGCTATATATAGCTGTATTTCATAAAAAAAAGGGGGCCATTTCGTAAATCCGTAATCGGAAGAAAAACTATGTGAAAGAGAACTTTAATAAGCAGCCGTAATCTCAAAACGAAACTCAGATGTCTGGAAGATTACAAATTGACTGGCGCAAAGTAACATGTACCACTCTGGGATATGAATCTCTCCAATTAAATTTATGTGAAAACTTTCAACTTCCACGTGCGATCGAAGGCTAAAATTCAAATTGATTCTTACGGTTTCGACAATTTTCCACCACTCAGTCATTTTATCAATTATCTAAAAAATACAGAGTGTGAGAAAGACATTACAAAACAAATAACTTATAAAAACAAAGTGCGACAGGTTTATATTTTTCTGAGTTCTGAGATGGATACACGTGCGCAAAGAAGCTGAACATAAAAATCATGTGTTAACAGAGCCCGCTTGTCACGGTAAAATCGAGACGGGCAGCATATGGTCGAACCGAACTTAAATGTGACCCTGGTTCCCGTGGAGGAGGGGGGCATCACAATGCTGTAGAAGAAGATGCTCCACCCGGCAAGGCATCTTGCAAAATAGGCAGCAAATAATGATGTCTGGCGAAAATTTTATGCCATTCTACGCCGGCTTAAACGCCTACAATTAACTGTGTAATAAAGAAAATAGTTGGTTAAGAATATATGAAAGTTATATATTTGAACTGCGGATAAAGACGTGAATGAAAGTGATCCTCGCAGTAATGTGCACTACTTAGGCAGTAGTGAAAATAGTCTTCATTTAGATTTACAAATTTTTGTTAGAACATCGATCACATCAAGATTTAAAAGTATTTTCTAATTTTGGTTATTTAAGTTGAAAACCAGTTTTCAACCAGAAGTTTTTAATTATCGGTAATGTAATATAAATTATTTAAAAAAAATTTTTTGGTTACATTCTGAACAAACTTCATGACGAAATCTGTCTTCATCCATCATCCTTTTTTTTTGTTAATTAATTAAATAAGTAAAAATCTTTTAAATAGCACTACTACTAAATTATGTCAGAACGAAAGGATTTAAAACAGTTTTCCAGTCCTTCATTCTAAAAGATATTTGATAATCATTTAGTAAAATGGTAAAATCCGCGGCACATAAGTTAGAATACGGATCAAAGAACCGGAGTGTGTCAGCTTTTACACGAGCCCTTTACTGTCCCTCTCCATCTGTAGGTTTGTCGTCAACAGTGTAGCCTCCGTTTTCAAAAGGTCTTTTCTCTGCTAGAGGTTCTTCCCCAATATTGATAACGATCTCTTTGGTAAGGTCTTCTTCATGATCAAAGTCCGTTTGCTCACTTGTTTTCTTGCGGAATTTTGGACTCGCTTGGATGTCATCCTGATCCTGAAGGTAACAGCAGTAACAGATACTCAAAATAGCGCCTCCAACGCACATAATTACGGCTACAAACAGCTTAAAAAATGCGAAGACATTCAGAGACATGGTGGACCCCTAAAGGCGCGGAGATGTTGCGAATGCAGTTATTCTCCGTTCAAAACGCGTTAAAGATCGAAAGTTTTTATGTCCACCGGCCGGGGCGAGCTAGCGCGAGGCTTTTACTGAGATGAACGGTTTGCTATGTGTTTATCGTATGGCGAGATATTATTTATTCAAAGGATTAAACACTTGTATATAGAGTTGTATTTCATAAAAAAGGAGGCCATTTCGTTAATCTTAGACGTCATCGGAAGAAAAACTATGCGAAAGAGAACATCAATAAGCAGCTGTAATTTCAAAACGAAACTCAGGTGTCTGGAAGATTACAAATTGGCTGGCGCAAAGTAACATATACCACTCTGGGATATGAATATCTCTTCAATTAAATTTATGTGAAAACTTTCAACTTTCACGTGCGATCGAAGGCTAGAACTGATTCAAATTGATTCTTACGGTTACGACAATTATCCACCACTCAGTCATTTTATTAATTATCTAAAAAATACAGAGTGTGAGAAAGCATTACTGAACAAATAATTTATAAAAACAAAGTGCGACAGCTGACTGAGATGGATACACGTGCGCAAGGAAGCTGAACATAAAAATCATGTGTTAACGGAGCCCGCTTGTCACCATAAAATTGAGACGGGCAGCCTATGGTCGAACCAAACTTACATGTGACACTGGTTCCTGTGGGGGAGGGGGCATCACAATGCAGTAGAAGGGGATGTTCCACACGGCAAGGCATCTTCTTGAGGGCCGGGAAAGAAAAGACGTTTTACGAGTTGAACTCATGGAAAAGCTAAGGAAATTACCATCTAGCTGCGACAAAACGTCTTCTGTTCTGTCTCGTGCCTTGTCGCTTGTCTATTTTATTGGTCAAAACAAAATGTAATTGTTACATATTCTGGTATCGTTTTGGTTCACTCTTTCACTATTAAGATCTCATAGGAAAATTTCCTTTCTCCATAATATCTGCCGTACAATTCTTTTGATGTTAGTTCTGAAAATTTAGTATTGGATCAACTAACCACTAATAGATATAGTCATTTTTAAATTTTTTTTTTATGCTAGATGTTGTACTGATTATTCATTGGAATAAACTCTTTCCTGGTCCCTGATGGGAGGCTAAAAACGCCGGAATTTTTTGTTGTGTGTGTGAGAAAGGTTCAGTTGCGTGTACCATCCGTCATCGATGATAGCAAGTTTGCGAAGTGGGTTAAAAGAAACAGTTTTGCTCTGTTACGCTCTTATTTCGTCTCTATTGTATATTTTTACGGTGTTCATTTGTGAGTGAGCGAAATACTTTTTTCTCCTTACAAAATCTAGTCGAACTGAAAAAAAAAATTAGGTGAAGTTTTTGTTTGGGAAAATCCCGCTTCACAAGACACAGAATATTCAGTTTAGACCGAACGATAGATTCTCTATCAGCCATAATGTCTTAGACATTAAAGCATTCAGTTGAAAATAAACAAAACCTGAAAACAGAATTATGCTGCCAGAAAAAGCAAGGCTTTAATAGAAGGCATGTAATTGATTTTGTCTCATTGTCGAACAATTAAAATTTATCATAATTGACAACAGCAGAACAATATCTCTTACAAAACTTTCATTTATAAAAATGGTTTTTGTTATTTCTTGAACAGCTGAGCCATGTTTCCGGTTCAAAACAGTGTAAACGAAAAAATCCAAAGCTTTTTTGACTATCCAAATGTTCATAAAAGAGAAGAAGTTTTACTCATTTTTTTTTATTCATATTTCACCTGTTTTGTTCTTACGTTTACAACCGATAATAGAAAGTTTCCACTGACGATAAATAAGACACTATTGTACTCTTACTACCCACTGATACTGCCATGCAAAAACACCTTTGAACTTTTTGCGGTAACTTCACAAGAACACAAAGACTCCTTTACAATATATTTGCACATGATCGTGACATAACCTAGAATAAATTCAATAATAACTGGAGAGAGAGGCAAATTGTATTAAGAGCTCGCGAATGGGGATCGGACATTCGAGAAAGTGATCGTTTTAAGTTAGCGTAACAAGATAAGCTTCTGGGAATCGCCTGCTCTAAAAATGATTTTTATTATTTCCTGTTTTGAAAAGTAGAATTACGCAGCTAAACAAACTTTGGAATGAAAGCAAAAAGCGCCCACATGATTACAATGATTATGTTTCTCCAGTCATTGTTTTAATTTCATTAGCGTCGTTTTTCCTGGTTCTGGCGAACATGCCAGTTAATTTTCTAACAATGAGTTATCTTTTTTTCTTCATGAAAGGAGTGGTCACATGCATACCCAGGTCCCCCTTAGCTAAGCGCATGGAACACATTTGTTTACACATCTGTCCGATTTTGACGAGCTTTTAACTGAACACAAATCCTCACAACTTGATAAAACGGGTCTTAACGAAGCAAATACACACACCCTGCACTCAGTTGAAATCAGAATGAAATCCTTCATTTTTGTCTTCGTGTTGGGGACGTGTGCCCAAGCATGGAGATGGCCGTGGGAATCGAAACCAGAAGGTGAGTATATAAAAATTGTTTCCTTCAATTTCCTCCTTTTTGTTATAACTGTTTTTCAAGCATCAAAAACCGATGGCGAGCTTGCCAGGTCTGCTCTTAAAATTGAACATCAAAACTCATGGCTGTGGATGACAATAACATTGCCTTATCGACCACTCGTAAAACCGTCAAACATATCAATGGTCAAGCGAAACACGAACAGGTGTATTCCTACTCAGAGTTAAGTGTACGATATAGATGGAAAAGATGCTAACCGATTTTCATTTCATCCGGAAAGTTAAACATCAAGTGGCAGATATACCAGCCAACTTGGGCCCCTTTCAGTTACAATTTATTTGGATCGTGTACACCCTTAAAAAATATTGGATCGATCACGATGTACAATTTATTTAACAACTTATACTGGCACTCGAATCGAAGCCGTTTGAATATTGCTGTGTTTTATTGAAAATTAAATGCCAATTAAGTAGAGCTGCATAGATGGTGCACCTTAAATATAACTCGGCACTTTTCTGTCCTATCGCATTGTAAATTTTGGTCGTCACAATCAAATAATTTAAAACAAACTGCTTCACGTTATAAACGAGGCCCTCGTGTGTGTGTGACTGACCAAGAGAGAGGCAGAAATTCAAATGAATCAAATCGCAAACTTGAAACATTCAGATATCATTTGGTTACGTTGTAGTACAAATTAAAGAACATCGTCCTTCCACGGATAAGCGCCTAAGCTCTAATAAATCTAAAAGGCGCCTCGCGCCTCCCCTGAATAATCGCCCAACCCCAGGCCATAGAGGCAACAAGTGGCCCCCTCGAAAAAAAACCGCCCCCCACCTCCGCCTTCACTTTCCTAATTTGTGGGGATACAAAGAAAACCTCTATATCCACTCAATTTTATAACTTTTCAAACATCAACTATAGCGGAGTCAGTACAGGAGAATAATAAGCGCCCCCTCGATTAAGCGCCCTGCTTCCGATAAGCGCCCCCCGACGAGTCAATTTCTTTCTTATAAGTAATTTTGAAACTATTTTCTCTTCTCAGCACCAGAATGGTCTCAGCTTTCAGGTAATTTATAAGTCAATCATCTATTTGTTTATTCTGCGAAGTGTTTTAAATAATTTGAAGTTGTGCATTTTAGCAATGGACCAGTGTTTAGGAATGGATCAGCCAGGACCAGCATTTAAAGTTAGTTTTTCTTGTGGTAAACTACAAATTTGAATGAACAAATATCAATGTGAGAGACATTATTGTGAAACAGTTTAGCTTTTTTTCACAATCTTACCAACTCATTGTGTATATAGGTTCTAGCCCCCGGTCATGACGTCTCATACCAGTTTGGGTGCCACAATGTCGACTGTAACGTAAGGGACTGGCCATTATTAATGGCCTAGGAGTGGGGGGTTTAAAGGATTTTGGTTGTGTCTTACCTGATCCCCCTAAGGCTTTGTAATATTCGTATGACCCCCCCCCCCCCCGACATCATTGGCAGCTAACTGATGGTCAATTTGCTAAGGTTCCCCCTTTATACTCTGTTGGCGACAACTGATCCCCTCTACGTTCTCCCCTAAAAGAATTCCTTTCTCTTACAGTGACGTGGGGAAAGTTCGACAAATTGCCGCAGGATAAAGACGCAGCGATCAAAACTGGATGGAAATTGACAGCGTCATGTGACGGTAAGATAAGATTTGCCGGAATATACCTCTTTAGCCTGTATTTTTTTCCCATTCTAGGTCTCAGGGAATTCACAGCTTTGTCGTTTGCAAATTATGCGTACATACGCACGTGTATGAGACGAAATTTGAATGAAACAGTTTTCTAGAGTATTATCACATGACCTGAACAAACAAGATAACGAGGTCTCTTATTACGAGGCGTTGATTACCCACAATATCGTGATGTCCCATCTTTGTGGTGATGTGCCTAATCTTGTACATCCTCACCGTGCACATGCAAATAACCTTGAACAGAAGGCGAATTCGATCAACTGCGTTTAGCCATGCAAGATTGCCTGGTTAACGTGTATTTGCTTCTACTTTTCATCGAAGACTGAGTCGTTTAATAACGAATATATACAGAGACCTGCTATTCCACCCTTCCGCTGCCTCTACAATGACTGCTTTGGCTTCATTGTTTCTTTTTGAAAGAGTGCGGCAAGCCATGCGCATTTGCTCCTTCATTTTTAGTTACGCTAGTCACTCATGCTACCTCTTTCTACATTTTATTGCAGCAGCCAATTATTTTGCTGGCAATCGTTACGTTCTTAAAGGAGACACCGCAGTGATGCTTCTCTTTGATTCCAAGGGAAAGATAGCTGGAATTCAAAATGGGGTAATGAACACAACTTAGGTTTTACCCTCTTTTACTTTGGGTTAAAAAAATGTCCTTAGTGACGAGTCTTATTTATCGCCGGGGGGGGGGGGGGGAGGGAGTTCGGCTCCCAAAATGCTCTGTAATATTCTTATGCTCCCCCCCATCCTCCTCACTGGCAGGTAACTGACTGTCAATCTTCGACAGTCTCCGCTGTTGACGGGGACTGTCGATCTGTTGACGACGGTTATAGCGGGTTTCGCCCATAACGAGTTTCGCACATATCGTTTCGCCCAGAACGAGAATGGTTTCGCTCAGAACAATAAAGGTTTCGCCCATAAGTAAAACTTCTACACTCTCACTCGGAAAACGTCAACCTTATAAACGTTTGTATGCACAGAATGAAGAAAAGTGACTTGACCTGAGATCATGAAATTTTGAAACGAACAAGTTACTGTTGAAACGAACAAGTTACTGTTGAAACGAACAAGTCAATTATAGCTTTCACTGTGGAGTGGGGATTGTTAAGGTAATTCGCGCACGAAATACTGCAGAGACGTCCGTTTGTCGTAAAAGCATTGCTATGATTTTTTTGCATCACTTTTCTTCTCGAGAATTAAATTAAACGCTTTTGAAAACACTTGCGCGTGGAACATATCATCGTTGCAAATCTTTTGTACACGGAAGATAAGTTCCGCACGCCAGCTTATGAATGAACATTGTATGAACAGAAAACAAAAGCCCGGTTACCGGGCTCATCTAAAGCATATGTCTAAAGAGGCCCTTAGCCTGGATAATCACTGACTGTCAGTCTGGGCGAATCGAATTTATGCCTGGGCGAAACCATTCTCGTTATGGGCGAAACGCTTCTTGGGCGAAACTCGTTATGGGCGAAACCCGCGGATACCGTTGACGACTGTTGACGACCGTTGGTGACTATTGACGACCGTTGACGACTGTTGACGACCGTAGACGACAACTGATCTCCCACTTCGTTCCCCCTGAGAACCATGTAATCCACCCAAAACCTCCATCCATCGCCCGGCGATATCCGGTAACTGCCTCTCTAAGCCTCAAGCCATCGTTCAATTTTAGATTCCCAAGTCAGCTGTTGGAGACTTACGGGCTCCCTGGATTCGTGAAGGGGATAACTACGTCATAACAGCTTACTTCACCGATCCTGAAACCATCTGTAGTGGACCCAGGCCCGTAACACCTTACTTAGGAGACCAACTTTTGCTACAGACTGGAAACAAGATTTCTAACACCATGTCGATTCCTTTCAAGCAAGAGGATTTGGCTGGAACTAAGTGGGTGCGCGGGGGCTGTTTCCCTTCCATGGGCAAGTCGAAGTCATACCTATTTTATTACTTTCTTTATAAGTAACTTGTTTCCATGCTACTTCCTCATTGAAAATCATAGAGAAGTTTTGGTTAGTCAGGAAGAAGTTCATCAGCCTATAAACGTACAGATCCAAGACTCGGGAGGGTTGCCTATAGCATCAATTTTCCACGATATGTTCAATTTTTTTACGGTCTTGGAAATTTAGTGGTTTATCTTTAGTTTTCGATGATGTGAGAAAAATTATGTTTTACATTAAATTACCTTTTGACTAATTTCAACCAGTAACTGCTTTGCAAATTGACATCTGATTAAACCATCCAGTTTTGGGGTTTTTTCAGGTCGTCATTACTGGTACAACATCTCACCGGATATGGACTGCCGAGACTTTTACCCGATGTTTCTGTTGTACAACAGGGATCGTCTGACCGGTTTTGGCTGGGTCGCCATTGGTAATGCTGACAGTCCACGGTACGAACATCCCCCCGCTAAAAGACTCGGGGTAAGTAGAGTCACAAGGACACAATGTGATGCCTCTTTATCTTTTTTACTTGGACATGTGCGTATATTTGGTGACCGTGTGTGCGTGCTTGCTCGTGTGCTTCTGGGATGTGTTTTTCTCAAATGCTTGTGACGTGAACACTCCTATGCATATAGCATGCTTTTTCTAGAGTGTTGTGACCTGGGTGCTCTCATACGCTTGTGGCATACCTTTCCTCAAATGCCTGTGGCGTGCCTTGTAACATGCATTTCTCAAATGCTCTATGCTATGTTAGAATCTGCACGCTTCGCATTATTGCGTGTTTCGATCAATGAATGGAAACGAAGTTTTGTGTTAAGCGAGTGAATCTTTGTTTGTTATCGAGACTAGCGGGAATCTTTCGAAAAGAATTTTTCTAGCTTTCTGAAATCCTTTTGCATTTGAAACTTTTGATCAAATTTATGAAGATGTGCATAGTAGTAAACACTCGAGGGCACAAAGCTACAACATCTTAAATCTTACTCGCTATTAGCGACAAGCAAACTCTTAGCAACAGTTCTTTTACGTTACTTCTAGGATCCACTGACACAAATCAGTCAATGGAAAATAGTGGTCGATGGGATCAATTTAATTATTACTCTCGACTTTTTTTCTCTTTCCAGCTGGGATTCTTCCTATCAGCAACAAAGCCAAAATGCATAGCCAACCTTAAATCATTGACCACGCAACACGTCTATTTGGACAAGAGACCATACCTCAACCTCTGCTTTATTTAGATAACGCCGTTGCAGACACAACCTCTTTACTAGGAGCTCTCCTCTTTCCGTACCCTAAGGGCTTTCCCTGCCTCTGGAAGGGAGGGAAAGTGACCTGGAAAGACGGTCATTGCAAAGTTGACTTTTCTCTCTAACAAGGGGAAAATTTTAAAGGGAATTTTGAAGTTTCAGGGTGAAGTATAATGAATAAACAGATAAATAAAACATAATTATTAAAATCTCGTTTTGAAATGTGCTCCAAAATAATTTTTAAAGTTGCGCAAAAGGTTGAGAGAAGGCAGAGGGAGAGTGATAGAAATAACTTTACTGGGAAAATAGTGCAAAGATCTTTTTGAACAATCTACTGTGCACGCTACTGTATAATAGTAATGAAAGATTCTTCTAGCAAATGTTAAAGAAGGGATTGGAATCCAGGTAAACATGCATCATCGACAGATGATCAGCGGTCCAAAAACAGGCTGGAATGGTATCTCTCTTGAACAAATACTACAGAGAGATAAAGAAAAAAGGGTGTCACGAATCGCACGAACGGTGTACCATGTTAGTGCTCCAAGCTGCCACCGTTTTGGAAGAAAAAAAACTTGGAGACTAAATTTGCAGCAAAAGTCACAAACCTCCTCTGAATACGAACAATGATAGAAAACGTAGGGAGAACATGAGAACTCAACACAAGAGTTAAATGATTAATCATTACCAGTTGCCCTTTCAGAAAATCTGAGGCCATTTTAATGGAATGTTGGAATTAAAATTCTAACATTCCACTACAAGCAAGAATGGATGATATATTTAATTTGGTTCTACCGCTTGCAAAAAAGTTTTCTCTTTTATTTTTTGTAAAATAACGCATTTATACCAAACTAACACATTCCCAAAAGTTTCCACTTAAAATCAAGGCAATTTTCAACAACAACAGCAGAATGTACCTACCGGGAAAGATACATTTGTTGGATGCACAAATCTTGGATTGTCAAGTTTAAAGGGTAAAATCCAACCAAACCCGTTCAGTACTCCGTTCGTGTACATCACAAATACAGGAAACAATGAATTGCAGTCAAACACGTTTAGCAGGTCATACCAGTACATTTTTCCTTGAAACACAACAACGAAGAAAGAAGATAAATTAAGCAAAAATTGGAGGCAACCATACAGGGCGTGAAATTAATTTTTTTTTCTGATAGCCACTTGGCTCCTAAATTCTTCAAAGTGGTAGCCAATTCAAAAAAAGTTGGTCGTCATTTTCAAAGACAAACAAAACCTTTTTTTACGCACGTTCTAGATAGACCCTCCAAAATTAAGTTAGGGGAAAGATCTTTAACGTGCTACAAATTGGACACTAGGATGGATGGTGTGCAACGTTCAAGCTCACCTAAATCCAAGATGGCGTATAGTTATCGATCGAGATGCATGTGCTGAGTTTTGGAAACAAACTTAACGAGGAAGTTTGCCGCGGATTTATCTCTTCAAATCTTTTAAATCCACTATATCTCTTCGTAAGGTTATGATGAAACATTCTAGTCGCCTATTTGGCGACTAATTTTCAGGATTTGGTCGCCAAAGTGAAAAATTGAGTCGCATTGGCGCCTGTATTAGGCGCAATTTCACGCCATGCCATATCTCTCTTCCTACCCCTCTCTCCCCCCCCCCCCCCCATTTTTTCATTAGGTCTTACAGCCAGTTCCCTATGTCCTCCCCTGTAATCATGGAATACAAATTTCAAACATCGCAAAGCCTCCATCTGATATCGTTTCCTAACACGTCAAATTGCATACTACATGAAGTAAAAAAAAAAAAAACACATTATTCACTTACCCATCGACCAGAAGCACTCTCCCTTAGTCCACATTCCACCTAATAGACCACGCTCCAGCAAGGGGACCTGGACAAATCCGTTTGCCTTTGAACTTTTTTGGATCAAAAGTCTGTCACCAAAGTATTTGGCTTTGGAGTCATATCTATGCGAACAAATTAGACTTGGATCTTTGAAATAAGCGGTGACGACGTAGGAGTCGTTTTCTCGCTTCCATGGCGACCCCATTCGCTTACAGACAGTTGAAGTTGGAATCTTAAGGAAACGAGAAACAAGTAGAGGCTCATTTCTTTTATAAAAGACACCTAAAAGCAGCTTTAGGATCCCAGAACACTTACTCCAGTTTGAATTCCAGCAATTTTGTCGTTTGCATCAAATAGCAGCATCAACGTCAAGTCCCCATTGCGAATGTATCGACGACCTTGGAAATATGCTCTGGCTTAAAAAGAGAGAAATAGAGAAAGGTGTAAGTTGGCAGTAAGTCTTCATTTCAACCATAGAGTAAACTCGTCTCGGTAGAGTGTTAAATGACGTGACCAAATAACGGATGCGAGGGAAGCACAAGAGATCACCGACAAACTTATTTTTCTTCCACACAAAAGAGAAAAAAAAAAACAGAGACAAAACTTGGGTAACTACTAATTATATCAAAATAGCCCGCAGAGCTGGCGTTATTCTGGTGAGCGAGTGCTCAGTATTTATTAGCGAAAATTATGGCCGCCATCTTTGATTTTAATGGCAGCGGAAGGTTGGGAGAGAGATAAATTTGTACCAAGGGGGTGAGCGACGGTCAAAATAAGGGGATGGGTGGGGGCGAGGGAGTGAACATCATATAACAAAACGTTAGTTTGAACTCGTCTCTCACAGGAAGAGAGACGTAGTCTATGAGGTACACATCTGTGAGGAGGGGCAAAGCTGAGGAAATAGCCATAAAATGGCATCATAGTTTGTAATTGAATACAGTAGAATAGAACAGAGAGGTCTATCACTCGTTTGGTCCAAGATGAATGATAACAATGATTGACTAATAAAACGACTTCGCTTTAAGTCGATAATGTTTGGATTTTATATCACCTTTAATTCTTCAACTTACCGTGGCATTTGTCACGCAAACTCCAGCCTTTTGCTACAGCATCGCTCACTGTCAGCGGAATCTCATCCCATTTCATCCAAGTAACTTAAAAGCAGTATGTCAGTTCGTGGTTAGAACCGTACAATTAACTTGCTAAGCAGTATTTTAGCTTAGAATTTTTTTTGCATATTTTAGAAATTAATTCGAATCTATTGTTTAGGCATAAGCAATGTTGTTACGCATTGTTCACCTGTTTTCTTGATGTTATCGTAAATTATCCTAATCTTAGGTTATGCACATTTAGTTTACCCAACCACGTAATTATAGAGACGTGTGCTCTTTGATTGGTCGATAAGTCAAAGTGTAATTGTGGCACAGAAGTAGTGCTAACTGACGAAGTAGCCGCTACGCGATTTGTGATGTTTCTACAGTAGAACATTGTACGACAAAGTGGTTATATAATCGCCTGAGTAACAATAGTGAAAAACTGATTTATCCCCAGTAGAATACTTTCAAGTTGTCAATTGGCTTTCTCTTGGAGATTGGAGGCGGAATTGCCAAGTGGTTAATACGCTGAACTACGTATCAAAATGTCCATTGTTAAGCCCTAGCGGGGTCATTCTATGGCAAGACACTACACCCGGCCCCTCTCCTGCCAGGAGTATACATGGGTACCGGTGAGCTGTCAAGGAAATCTGACGAAATTCTGAGGGTGGTAACAATACAATGGTATGGCATCACGTCCGGGAGGAGAAGAAATATCATCAGAAATTTTTGTTTAAATCTCCCATCATCATTATTTCTTTCGTTTTTATGCAATTAACCGAAATAATATTTTGCCCCCTTACTTCTATCGCAAAATTACATACCATACCTGAAAGCTTGTCCCACTCTGGAGTCACTGGATCTAAAGAGAAAAAAAAGGATAAAAAATATATAAAATAATAAAACTAAACTCCTGAGAACATCAGTCATATCTCTATTTTTTTTCTTTGGAACAGCAGGAGAATGCGTATTGAAGTACTATTAACTGGTCTAGTTATTACTACATTATCGTAGCACTGTATTCAACGAGACAGGTACCCTGGTGATGGCCAGAGTACATTCTCTGGAGTTTCCTGTTCACATTAAATTGAAAGGAAATGCTCTCGGGAAAGTGGGATTTCAAACTGATAAACGTTTTGAAGATCATTTCCACAAGCGTTTTCCTGTCCACATTGAATTGAAAGGAAATACTTGTGGGAAATTAGGACTTGAAACTGATAAACGTTTTAATTTTCTGCAAAATAGTAACAAAGTTTCGGTTGACTTGCTAACTGATCTAGATTGACAAAATGATATGTACTTTCTCACTAAGTTTCATTTTGCAAGGTTCATGTTATGTTGGCATGCACTCTATCATCTTCCGTTAAGCGTTAAATAAAAACAAACAAGCAAAAACTGTCTAGTCTTACAAAAACATGAACTGTGCTTCTAGCAATAAGAGAAGGTCGTGATCAATTCAATAAAGTTCATTAATCAAAGGAAAAGCGAAATTTTAGAGAATATCATCTAATGTCTTAAGTTTTTTCTGAAGTGTTATCAATTTCCTTCATTTTCGGCGCGAAGGAGAGTGCAGTGAATAAAAGTTCAGTATAATTAAGGGGTTGCCCCATTTAGTTTTTAGTAGCACGCCATCTTAAGAACAATTCCAGTAACTTAGCCCAACAATTTGATTAGTGTTTCAGGTTAACTTCCATAAAATCTTTCTACGTACCGAGACCTCCTAAACGGGAAATTTTTTTTAAGACTACATATCATCATATCCTTCTTTCGACTAATAACAGAATACATGAAATTAGTTCAGATAAAACGGTAGAATACATGGGTAATTCTCTTGCCTGCGTTCCTCGACCTATGCCAATAAGTTCGAGCGGACACGACCATCACACAGACGAAAAAAGCAATGCAGTTCCTCATTTTTCACTGAAGACAATCCAACGACCAGTTTGACTTAACGAGGCACTAAATGCTTCTATGTTATGAGAACAATTCACAACTCTTTTAAATACTGGTCTATGTGAGCGGAGTAAATAGGCGTCCCATCGTCATGCTCAATTGAAGGCAATGAATGAAGAATGACAAAAACACTTCAATACTCTACGGGGCAGGAAATTCAAACAGCGACCTTGGAGCAGATCTGTAGGATTTCTGCACGCTCACCGAAAAAGAGCAAAAAAAAACCAATGCTATATTAATGCTGAAGAATTCACTCTTCAGATCGACAATTTTTTTCACCTCATCACCACAGAATGAGCTCAAAAAGTATTAAATCTAGATCTATAAGAGCTAAATTGGATTTTCAGAAAGGTGAACTTAGATCATATTTCAGTTTGATTGCTGATTGAAAATTGTTCTCGTCTTACTTAATATTTAAGTAATGATAAAAGGAAACTGATAAAATTGAATTTTAATCCTTAAAAGAATAAAAACGTTGAATCGCAACAGTTGTATGACAATTCTTCAAACCGTCGTTTATATTTCAAGTCTACAGTTTTTCCCATGTGGGTATGGTCGCATAAAGTTCTTGTTATGTTTTGACCCCTGGCATAAATCGATTATTTATTATGAGAGATAAAGGTTTTTTTAAAGAGGCAGAGAGCCAACAATTTCATGTGGTTTCCCGTTCTGGGAAGCTTTGTTTCGCAAAGCTTTCCGGACGTTTCGATGACTCAATTCAAGAATATTTTGACCATCAAATTTAATTTTACGATGTCTAACTGCAGAGAAATATTCCCCATTAATGACGAGGTCCGATAAGGTTAGTGCAAAACAGTCAAAATTCAAGTTCTCATAAAATTCCTGCAGGGTGAACAGTTTGTCCTAAAATCTGACGAAGGGCTAACGCTCGAAACGAAAGCTCTAGAAACTCTTAACAGTGGCCAATTTACATTACTAACTCTGTTGATAAAACCAAATTATCTTGTCAAAAACAGAGTCAAGCTTAAGATATTGTGTTCTAGAATCTTTAAACAGGAAATGAGTAATAAATAGCTTTATGGTATGGTTATTAATCAAAGGGGGTCCAGCCATAACAAACAGCGAGCAATGGACTTTTCCAGTGACCCTGTTAGAGAAGATATCAAAATATATCGATCAAATCTGGCGACGATAGATTGATTAAAACAAAACAAAATATAAAATACTTTGTTTAAATCCAAGAATAGGATTCTAGAGGGCAGAATGCTGTGAATCACAGCATGAAAATTTGGTAATGAAGAATTTAATTTGAAATTACAAAATAAAACGTCATGATATATTCATTACCTGTTGACAAGACCCCCCCAAGAAAAAGGCTGAAACAAATATGCGAACTTTCAAAACACTTCCTGTGATGAGACTCTTATCGGAAAAAATCTCGATTTGTTCTTGATTGCGCGCCACATTCAGTATTGATAGAAATTTTTTCCGCGTATGGTAACGTTTATGGATACTTTCCACTTGCTTCACACTATGCATTAAGGTCGAAAATAGACATCTTATTAGCTATGTTTATATAAGCAAGCTTATTTTCCTTAACCGTAAAAACTCCTCTACAAAGTCTGCTTCGTCAGAGGAAATGCATAGTAGAATAAAATACGTTTTTTATCATTTCAGTTCGAACAGTGCTGCTAACCAGTTTAGTATCATCATTGTACAGTGTGTCGTTTCCTTTCAGGAAGATTTTAAGGAAGTTTAAATCTCAAGTAAATAAAGTTTGCATATATTACGATAAGTCCGTCAAATTCAACAATCAAGATAAGAAAAAAGGCCGTGAGGGCTATTACTAGTATAATTACTTATAGATTAGACGAGACTTCAAAAGACGACAAGAACACCAGTGACAAGTTCGCCTACGCTTACGTGCTTGCATTTGCTTTTATACCACGTTCTGACGTCATCTCTAATTTGTAACTGAAACATCGCACGACAAAATGGAATCTACTGTTTGATAAAAAGTGAAAATGACGTCAAACGCGTTACACGAGCGTGGGCTTAAATGCTGCTCTCACTTCAGTCGTTCATCGATAGAATATAAATGAACGTGATTTCAACCTTGTTTTGTCTGCAGTGAGGATACTTTCATCTCCTTCCTACACTTCTGTTGAAAGTTTGTCAAGCACTTGAAAGTTTATTGCGGTCTTTCGATACGGTCACTTAACCCTTTACCTCCCAAGATCTGATTGTTAATTCTCACCTCTAGCTGTTACACATTTCCTTGTGAATTGGTTATGAGAATTTAGTGTTCAATCACGATAATATCTCGTACCTGATATGTTTGAGTAATCCCACTACCTGTTAACTGGATAATGTATGATTACAATAGGGAGAAGTTACTCGTTAATCACTGCTAAGATCTCATCAGTAATCCCTTCCTGTCTGCTTACTATGATGTTAGTTCAGAGGATTTGGTATTGGATGAACCCTTTCCACCCTAACATCAGTATGCATATTCTCCTTACTGTTCCCTATACGTTCCCTACAGCGCTGATGAGGAGAATTTGTTTCATAATCCAGAGTTTCTCTTATTGGTGACCATTTCCTTCGTTCTCGTTGCCTGAATGTTTGATTCAGGGGTGCTATTGTAAGGAGAAATTTGATGCTAGTCACCCTTAAGGGTTAAAAGGTTACCTTATAATCCCGTCATTGGAATCTTCTTCATCCTCATCATTTGTCTGCTTGATATTATAACGAGAAATTCTGCCTTTGTCACTCATGGGAATTTAAATGGTTCAGTCCTTGTAGAGAGACATAGGACGGTTTACGGGCTGAATTCAATTTTTTCACCTTTGACAATTTGACCGTTTGATCAAGGCCAGTGAGGGTAACTCTTAATCAGAAATGTAAGATTTCCCTGGCCTGCCACTTCATTTGTTTACTTATTTATCCCAGCTGGGCTAAAAAGGTTAATGAAACATGCATAAGCTACAAATGGTGATTTCCCTGCCGTATGAGTCACACTGTGTTGGTAAACTGTTCTCAATATCGTGATATTTCAAGATAATTGTACACGATGGATATCTGGCTTTCAAATTAAAGAATATCCTGATCAGCCGCAATGACATCAGACACGAACACACACGCGCGCGCGGCACATTCCTCTCGTATATTTTAAAGTAATTTGCTTAAGCTAAAAGGTACCCCGCTATTTTTGATGCTCATTCAAAAATAATCCCTCTTCAGAATTAATTAAGAGTTATTAAATTTATCGCGTCCCAGAAAATTTTGAGGGCCTTGATTCTTACTCTAGATATTTCCTCGATGATATCATAATTTCTAAACGTTCCGCACTGTACATACATTGTTATATTCAACATGCTTAACGTAGCTCTTGGTGAGTGTCTTTCCGGTACATGATAAATGGAATGTTCTGAGTTGTTTACAAAAGCTTGATTTACAAATCAAAAACACTAATTGGATATGGTGTATTGAAAACATTTTAGTTTACCAGCGTAACAGCTAAATACTTTCCCAAACCTGTTAATTGCTTCTCGTCTCTTCGATGTAAACAACCGCCGCGATCGTTTTAGCATGCACGAAAGACAAAATCTACGAAAATCCGATTATGAATATGAAATCTGCAACCATACTAAATATTTCGTGAGTTACTCAGTTAATAAGGAATTTTTGCGAGACAAAAAAACTCAACTCACGCTCTTAGTAATGAATTGTTGTTTTGTTTTAAGCTTTAAATAATTCACAATTTGACAATGTGGACAAAGCCAGCTTGCAATCCATTTAAAACTGGCGTGAATATGTCTCCGGTTCTTGATCTTAGTTGACATTCATGTACGCTCTTCTTAGGGAATTAGGAGGAATTTATATTCACAAGTTAGTTACATAACTCAAATAAAATCATTGAACAATGAACTTCCCACATCAAGGTAC